TGAACCAAGTGTCCCTCCATGGCCCCATGTGCCATCTCATGGTGGCTTCCCACAATGAGGAATCTGTTCACCAGGCCACCAGACGGTATGAGGTGGAGGATTGGGAGCCAGGCACCCACAAGAAGGCCCCTTCCTTCCTTTCCCTTGCTCGTGTACCAGAGATGGGCAGAGAGTGATGAAAATGGAACAAGAAGAGATCCTGTAAGGTGTCTGAGGAGGAGGATATTTAAAACATTTTACCCCTGGCATGCTTATAGGCCCTGTAGGCCCTGTGGGTCTCAGCTGAACAAGGCATTGGGACAGGGAATAGGGAGGTCTAAGGTTTCAAAAATTGGCTGGAACTCAGGGTCTTCAGGGACGCTCAAGTGTGCTCCTCTACCACTTTCTTAGTTACTTTTCTCATTGCTGAGACAAAATACCTGACACTCAAAGTTAGAGGGGGAAAGATTTGCTTGTCTCACAACGTGTAGAGATTTCAGTCCATAATCAGCTGTCTCCAAGACACACCCTTGAACCTAGCATTGCATGTGAATCAATCACATCTTTGATCCTAGCATCATACACTCCAGACCTAGCCACCTCTGAAAAGCCCCACCTCTGCGTGAGGCTTTGGGGGGACATCTAGATAGGAGCCATAACAACCACAGAGTTTGGAATGACAGTCATCTCTCATTACCCTTGGAGAACTGGGTTCAGGACACCCCTGCACCCATGGAGATAAAAATCTCAATATCAAAATCCTCAGATGCTCTGATTCTACATAAAAAATAGCATATAGTATTTACATATAACCTATACACATAAATGCTACATAAGTAGTTGTTATACTGTATTGTTTAGGAAATAACATTGAAAAAAAAATCATGTACATGTTTGGTGCAGATGTAATTTTTTCAAGTTTTTTTTTTTTTTTGTATTTTAGTACAGAGTCTACAGGGTCTTACTATGTAGATAGGACTCATAGTGATTCTCCTTTTTTTAGCCTCCCAAGTGCTGGGATTACAGGCGCATGCTACCATGCCCAGTCTCCATCACCATCTCAGCCCACCCCAGAGTTGGGGCCTGCACAGCAGGCTGAGGATTGAACCCCAGCCGCTGTGCTCTGCCTAAACAGGCACTTTAGTCTGCTGAACTATCTGGCCAGCCCTTTTCAAGTATTTTTGATCCATGGTTGGTTGATGCTGAGTGTCAACTGTGCTTCATTATTTGAATTACTAGGGGCCGGGGATATAGCTCAGCGGCACAGCACCTGCCTAGCAAGTGCAAGGTCCTGAGTTTGATTCCTGATACAAAAAAAAAAATTAATTACTGCAACAGCCATACAGGTGTGTGACGGCTGATTTGCTGCTCTAGACTGAGTCACTGCCTGGACTGATGACTGATGATGTGGCCCTTTTCCACAGCATGTGGGACCTGGGCATTCCTGTGGATGGGCCTGTCTGTTTCGGACAACTTCTGGGCATGTGTGACCACGTCTCCCTGTCACTGGGTATGTGAATGGTGCATTGCTCTCCCCGCTAACTCCCAACCCTCACCCCAGCCCACACTCTCCCCCAAGCAGATCCCCTCTGCTATTCCCAACCAATGCCTAGCCAGGTTCCTATCCTCCAGCACCTTCGTGATAGATGTGTTACCCTTAGATCTCTGGCTCTTGCAGGCATCACTGTGTCTGCTGGTTCTTGATTATGATGTTGTGTTTCTTGCGTGCTTTGTGATCCTGGGCGCACTGCTTCCCAGAGCCTGAGATAAGAAGATTTCTAGTTCTTCCTGCCAGTGTTAAGGGCTACAAATCCACTCCATCCTAAATTCATGGTTTTGTGATATCCCTGTGATACAAATTGGGGCTGCAAATATGCAAGGGCGCTAACCCATGCCTACAACCCCTCAGAGGTGGGTTGTTGTGTTTTCTTCCCTGCTCTACCTGGATATATTTTATTTTTGAGACAAGGTCTCTGTAAGTCACTAAGTTTCCCAGGCTGGGTTCAAACTTATCATCTACCTGTCTCAGCCTCCCCTTTCTTCTTTCTCTCCTCCTCTTCCTCCTCCTCCTCCTCCTCCTCCTCCTCCTCCTCCTCTTCCTCCTCTTCCTCTTCCTCTTCCTCCTCCTCTTCCTCTTCCTCCTCTTCCTCCTCCTCCTCTTCCTCCTCGGTCTCACTCTGCAGTTCAGGTTCACTGTGAACTCACTTTGTATTCCTGACTGGTCTTGAACTCACAGAAATGCTCCTGCCTCAGCCTCCCAACTGCTGGAATTACAGGCATGCACCACTTACCCAGATCCTCTCACTTTCTCTTAATTCTTGGATTAAAAAGTTCCTTGAGGCTTCGGCAGCATTTTAACAACCTGAAAATTTTTTTCTTGCTGGATGTGGAGGCATATGCTTGTAATCCCAGTATTCTGGGAGACTGAGGCAGGAGGGTCATAGGTTAGAACTCAGCCTTGTGGGATACCACCAAGTCACATTTACCTGAGAAATTAAACCCCTTGTCCCTGTTCTATTTAGCCCTCATCTTTGCCCTGCCCACTTATATATGCAGAGCTGACTGTATAGAGTTAAAAGTCACCTCAATTAGCTAAAAAGAATGTGACTGAGTCCAGTTGAGACGCCAACTGCAACAAAGTGACACCATTACCTGTCATTACTGATGGCTGAACTGGAGGCTTGAGCAAGACCCTGTGAAATCCCAGGGCTAAGGCATGAGATAACATGTCTGCCAAGGATATGAGACTCAAAATGAAATATACCTTCTCAGAAGTAATGGTACTGGCCTTCCAAACATCAAGTTATTTGTTAAGCCGCTATTTAATTGGGGAGCCTCTATGCACCAGAGTGCTTTGTCTCTCCTTTACAAGCCATGCCTGCACATTACTCCTGAACACTCAATCACAACATATACCTACTTTCTTGCTGGTGACACACACAAGCAACAAAAACCGTGGTCACTCTAACTCTTAGCCCTTTATTCCACTGAGAGCAACTGATGATCCCAGAGGCCCTTGAAACTGCAGATCTCTCTTTGTCTTTCTTCAGCCATGGGCCACATTCCCTCTAGGAGACTGAACCTACCTTGGGAGTTTTGTGACAGCCTGGGGAATTTAGTGACTTAGTGAGATCCTGCCTCAAAGTAAAAAACAAAACAAGGCCCAGAGTTCAACTCATAGTACTGTTTAAAAACTTAATATGCATTAAAAAATTCTTTTTCCTCAATTTTTTTTTCAACGAAAGTCTTGTTTTACACAACTCACTTTGGACATGTTCTCAGAAATGGAAACCCCCTTTGTAAACAGGTTTGGGGGTGCCTCTCTCCAAAAGTAAATAGGTATCCTGCCACCATTCTCCTTCCCAGGGCAAGCTGGCTATGCAGTATACAAGTCCATCCCCTACGGCTCACTGGAGGAGGTGATCCCCTACCTGATCCGGAGGGCTCAGGAGAACCGCAGTGTGATGCAAGGTGCCCGCAGGGAACAGATGCTGCTCAGCCAAGAACTGTGGCAAAGGCTGCTGGGGCGAAGCCCAAGAGTCTCCTATTAGCACCCCTTGGGTCATATGGTCAATAAAGTTTCTGCTGTTGAATTGAATAGAATCTGGTTCCTTGGGGAAGGACTTATCTTGACTTCATCTATCCTGACCTTGGGGTGAGGATGTCCTGAAGTTCAGGCAAGATCTTTAGATGGCATGGCATATAGGAAGAGCATAGAAGGAGGGCTAAGGTAGCCTCTTCCTGACTCTGAGCCAGTTCATCCTGGGATGTTCCTGGTCTATGACTGATGCAGGAACTTTCTTCATCTCAGTGGCTCCCCAAAAAAAGGGCACAGGTTCTGAAGAGCAAGACACTGAGATACTGGAGACAAATGGCTGATCCAGGGCCACAAACCCAAGTAAAGACTGGTGGAAGAGCCAAACCCTTCCTCAGCTAATAAACATCGAACAAGGCTCTTTATGAACTAGATTCTGAGGTAAGTAAATCTGGGAACACAACAGTGACAAAGACACCCTTGGTCCTACTTTGTAGAGCTCATAGTTCAGGGGTTTAGACAGATTTCTCCCTTAGGCAGTGACAGTCCTGAGTGGTCAAGACTATGCTGGGGCAGTTCAGGGGATTATGGAAGGCCAGAAATGGCACAATATTGGAGTAATCAAGAGAGTATGTCAAGAATTCATAAGAAGAATTATGAAGACAGAGAGGAACAAAGGTAAGGGCATGTGCAAAAACAGAAGAGTGGCCCAGATTGGGGAGTGGGGAGACAAGGATGGAGAGATGTGCAGGGCCAGAGGTGGCTGTCTCACATCCCAGAGGACAGGGTGGGGATTGCACCCCAAGGCCACTAGTGAGTCAGGATATGTTTCAGGTAGGAGAAAGAAGTCAAGAGAAGATCCCTATGGCTGCCATGTGGAGGATGGACTGGAGAGTGGAGACAGGCTGGGAGTCCAGGCTAGGACAAGACAAGGAGTCTTGGAGGGCAGGAGCAGGGCTGAGAGCTTGGGTCATGGGATCCATGAGTCCTATGGGAAGGATATTTCCAGCACAAGGCTCAGAGCTCTGACTTGCAAAAAGGGTCTTCAGGGTCTGTGAAAGGGACTGGAGAGAAGAGTTTGGAAGAGATTCTGAGGCCACTACAGGAACCGGTAGGTGTGACAGACCCCAGGGGACATCCATAGGGAGGTGTGCTGTGGAGTTCTTAGATACGGGGCTCGGCGGAGAGACAGAGACAGAGGCAGAGAGCAGCCTACGGCAGTGAATGGAGAGCGTGGCAGACAGCCAAGAACGCAGCACAGGGTCAGAAAGAGACCACTGCCCCCCACCCTCGCCAAAGTTCTGGGGTTCAAGGAACACAGGAAGAACGTCCAGAACACAATTGGAAGTTCTGGCCCAGAGATGTTTCTTTTTTTTAGTCATCTCAGGGCCCTAGACACCTCGGTTAGGGAAGGGAAGTTACGGTGCAAGTTAGGAGACCGCTAGTGCGCGAGCGCCTAGGATTCCCGCCCAGACCACGATTGGCTCTTCAGGGTCACGTGGAACCTAGTGGCCACCATCCTGCCCAACGGTAGGTACAAAACCACCTGGACAGGAGTCTAGGCCTAAAGCTTTTTAGAGCTTTTAGTGTCCTCGGCGCTTCACCAGATGCACCCCCACCTCCAGTGTGAGACTCTGCCCTCAGGCCTTCCCCCCACCTTTCCAAAGTCCCTACTCCCACTCCCCTACCTAACTCCCCACTGCCTGGGGATTGAACCCAGGGTCTTCCCAGTAGACTACATCCCCAGTCCTTTTGTTGTTTTTGTTTTTGAGACAATCTCACTGTGTTGCGAAATTGCCCAGGCTTGGCTCTCACACGCAATCCTCCCGTCTCACCCTCTCAGAAAACCCAGCCTGTACAGAAGCTTTCCCCGCCTTTCCCTAGTCTCTTCCACAGCCTGTGGAGCTCACCCAGCATAGAGACCTCCTTTGTCCACAGACTCCTCTCTCTCACTGCTGGTAGACCTGACCGCCTCAGGTCAGTAGGCCCCTCTTCTGCAGCCAATAACCGTCTAGCTCCTCCCAAGCCTTCAGACTACCTTCTTGTCCTCCCAGCTCCTTTGCCGCCCTTCCATGCCCTTCCCCAGCCCTAAGATCTTTCTCCCTGCTTCACTTTTCTTAGATCACCTACAGCTCTCAGACTCTCTTAGAGCCAAATCTTCAGGTATGGAGCCCATCCCTGCCCATCTCTTTCTCATTCAGACATCTTCCTTTTCAGACACTCCCTGAATCCCTTTCTTGCCTCACCCACCCACCCACACCAGCCCACTCTGTCTCTATTGCTCCCAGAAGCCCTGGCTTTTGTTTCCTGCGAAGATGCCTTCCCTGCCCTCTGGTCTCCCTGTGGAGCTGGGCTCCACGCAGAGTCTAGATACCCAACTGAGCCGTCTGCTTCGCCTGGCTGTGGCTGGGGGCCCAAGCTGGAGCCTAGCGAGGCTCCTGCGGAGAGGTGAGGGGTTGGCTAGTGGGTACTTGTGGCTGTAGTTTGAAGGGTGCAGCTTCAGAGGGCTGGTCAACAGTTATGGACTTGGGACCCACTGTATGCAGGCTCCAGGGTCCAAGATGGAGATTTAAGGATACTGTGACTCTGGAACATTAGGAATAAAATCTATTTGTGGGGTGGGATAATAAGTGATGAGACACACCAGACAGGATAGCTTTTCAGAGGGAGTGATCCCAAAGTCCCACTGTGTAAGAGCCAGTCATGCAAAAAGCCAGGGAAGAAATTCTCAGAAGCTGGAATAGCCTGTGGGAATACTGAGGTTGAAACGAACCGGGTATGTGTGTAAGTGGCACAGGACTCAAGGACAGGACTTGAGGCCAAAGAAATAGCTCATTCTGACAGTAAAGGACCTCAGAAGGTGTGTCAATATGTTCAGATTTTCTTCTGTGATAGGAAGCCATCGGCATTACAAAGAGGAAATTAAGTCTACAATGAACACCAACAGTTTCCAAATTCATTGATTTTGGTACACTGATTATGTATTTAGCCACTTTCTGAACTTGATTAACAGTTTTGACTAGTTTTTTTATTTGAATATAAGGTTTGGTTTCAACACATAAATGTATATACTCTAATTTCTTCTTCTTTTTTTAATCTTAAAGTATTACCTAGAACTCCCAAACTCTGGTGCTGAATGTCTTTTCCTTGTTCTTGATTTTTAAGAAATGCATTAATATTTTTCTATTAAGTAGCAGGTGTTTGCTATTGGTTTCTGGTTTGTAATGTTTATAAAATAAGGGAGTTTCCATTTTGTCTGCTTTTTAATTCTTCCTAATCATAAATAGATACTAAATTTTGTTGAGCATAGGACACACACCTATAATCCCAGCACTCAAGAGGTTGAAGCAGGAGAATCAACTACAAATTTGAGGCTAGCCTGGGCTACACAGCAAGCTTAAGCTCAGCCTGAACTACATATCAAGACCCTGTCTCAGAACAAGCAAACAAAATAAATATAAACAATAAACAAAATGTATCAATTTTCTGTATCTGCTGATTTAAATGTAAATTTTTCATCCTTTAATCCACAAATGCATTTTATTACATTGATAGATTTTCTGTTTTAATTATGGTCATATGCAACCATGCCTCGATAGGTTATCTTGTATTGGTCATCACTGCTTTCTGAGGCTAAGTATAACTTTAGGCTTCTTGTGTATAAGGTCATAAATGGAATATTTTCTGCTCCTGGAAAACTTTTGGTTGGGGATTAAATCATTTTAAATATCCTATCCTAGGAACGTTCTACAAATCTTATGATCTAAAAAATGAAGTCTCTGTTCTGATTTGTAAAACATATCTTTTTTTTTTTCTTGCAGTATCCATAGTGTTGACAAGTACATGTTAAGGCTAGAATCATCTCCTTATGTGAATATTTTGTTTCTGTTAAGATAGTAAAAAACCAGATTCCTTTAGGGCTTTGAGCTGTACCTACAAAAAAATGAGTACAGTAACGTAATATAGAATATTCAGTCCTATAATCAGGGTGTAGCTGCTTCTCATTCTACAAGATACTGCACCTTTCAATTAAGTGTCACTCGACAAGCCAAAACCGAGTTCTCTTCGCCACATGCTAGTCTACCTGCAGCACCAAAACAACTAGGAATGAGTTTTTCAGCTGATTCAATTGTGACTCTTACTCTGCTGAGTCATTCAGAATCTCTGTGTTGACTTCTTCATATTAATAATCTTCTTGGCCTTCATTGTCTTTTACAATTTTTGAGTTCTGAGTCTGGAGTGCGCTTCTCAGAAGATGACCCCCTTTCCTGTGCAGATGTGGCATCCCAGCAGGTCACCATCTACCTGTGTGAGTTCTATTTCTGGAGTCAGATGAGCCATGATGCCCAAAAATGCTAAACAATGTAGTTTCTTTTGGGCTGGAAGCACCAGTGAAATTCATATCTGAGGTGCTGGATGAATGTACAGTTCTCTCAGGCATCCCTATAGGACGAGGTAAATCAAAGCTAAGATTCTCAGAAACTGATTCCTTATCTAAAGGTGGCTCAGCAGTTTATTGTATCATTTCAAAGTATGCTAGTTTCCAATGTAGAAGTCTTTTTCTTCCTTTGTTAGATTGATCCCTAAGTATTTCAGTGTTTTGGTTTTTATGTTTTTTGGTTTTTGTTGTTGTTGTTGTTGTTTTGGGGGGATGGTATTGTGAAAGTTTTTTTGTATTTAGTAGAGGGTCTACAGGGTCTACAGGCTCTCACTACAGATTGGACTTGTAATGATCCACCTGTGCTCAGCTTCCCAAGTGCTGGGATTATAGGCGCAGCCACCACGCCCAGTCTCATTCGCCATCTCAGTGTGCCCCACAGGCGGGGCCTGCACGGCACGCCGGGTATCGAACCCCGGCCGCTATGCTCTGCCAAAGCAGGTGCTTTAGTCCGCTGAGCTATCTGGCTGGCCCTGTTTCTCTAATTTCTTTCTCAGTGAATTTGCTATGTGTAGGAATATATAAATGTATAGCCTTTAGGAAGGCTATTGATTTTTTAGTGTTGACTTTATATCCAGCTATGTTGCTGAATTTGCTTATTAAATCTAGAAGCCTTTTAGTGGAGCTTTGGGATCTTCTTTGCAGACTAACATGTCATCTATGAATAATTATAATTTAACTTCTTCCTTTTTTTCCCGCTTGTCTAATTGCCCTGCCTAAAGTTTCAATTTTGAATAACAGTGGCGATAGTAAACATCCTTGCCTTGTTCCTGATTTTAGAGTAAAAGCTTTCAGTTTTTTTCCACTTAGTATGATGCTGGATGTTGGTTTGTCATAGATGACTTTTATCAGATTGAGATAAAGACCGTCTACTCCAATTTTCTGTAGGCTTTCATCATGAATTGGTACTGGGTTTTGTGAAAAGCTTTTTCTGCATCTATTGAGATAATCATATGTTTTTTCCTTGGCTCTGTTAATATGGTGTACTACATTTATTGATTTATATATGTTGAACCATCCCTGCATCCCTGCAATGAATCCTACTTGGTCATGGTATACATTCTTTTTGGTGATTTGCTGCATTCTGCTTGCCAATATCTTACTGAAGATTTTTATATCTCTGGTCATTAGGAAGATTTGGCCTGTATTTCTCTCTCTCTCTCTCTCTCTCTCTCTCTCTCTCTCTCTCTCTCTC